CTTGGTAAACATGTCACTGCTCCCTGAAGTTAGTGGGACATATTAAGTGTTCAGGAGGCATATAGATACTTGCCTTTATTAGCCAAGGCATAGAGTTTAACAGCAGGGAGGTAATGCCAGAACTGTATACAATATTGGTTAGGTCACAGCTAGAATATTGTGTGCAGTTCTGGAATGAACATTATAGGAGGGATGTGATTACACTAGAGCGGGTGCAGAGGAGATTTAGCAAGATGTTGCTTATGCTCAGAGCTTTAGTTATGAAGTGAGGTTGGATAGACTGGTTGTTTTTCTTGAAGCAGAGGAGACTGAGGGGGCACAAAATTGAGTTGTATAAAATTATGAAGGGTACAGTATATGGGAAGAAACTTTTCTCCTTGGTGAAGGGGCCAATGACTGGGTGGTGGGGGGGAAGTAGAACAGATTTAACATAAGGGGCACAAGGTTTAAGGGGGATGTGAGGAAAGATATTTTCACCCAGGGATAGGAATCTGGAACTCACTGCCTGTAAAATTGTAATGGCACAAACCATCTAACATTTAAGAAGTATTTATATGTACACTTGTAATGCAAAGACATATGAGGCTAAGAGCCCAGTGCTGGAAAATGGAATTAGAACAGCGAGGTTGCTGTTTTTGACCAATGCAGACTTAATGGGCCAAAGAGCCTTTTTCTGTGCTGTAGACATCTATATCTGTATGAATATATGATCAATCTAAAAGATGACTAACTGAAGTTTTTGGAGTTGTAACTAATTACTGACCTCATGAGGAAATTGGTTAAGCCATAGGAGGAAGAGAGCAGGACAAATACCTCTGTCTGTCTTTCTCTCTCTTAACGTACCATGTTGTAAGAGTGAATTGACAATCTTAGACCACCATTTGATTTGTATAGGTCCATGGCTGTATTTGGCAGAGAACTGCAATGGTTTACCATTGCTTTTTGCAGGATGGCTGATCAGGAGACTCTCCCACTATCAGACATATGGGAAGGATTGACAGTCAACCTGTTTGGCCATCAAACAGACACAAACAGACGCAATTCAAAAAGACTGAGCCCATGCACACAGATTATTAAATGATCATGGACAGGTACAGACAGTATCTAAATAGCTAATAGATTACAGACCATTATATTGAGAGAATTTTTAGATTTAGACTTAGATTTAGATTTTATTGATACACTGACTAAAGTACAAGTATAGGAGTACAGTGAAAAGTGTATAATGCTGCCACATGCTGCACCATCTTAAATACAAAGGTACCTAGATACAAAAAAACTTAGGTTCAAATTAATAAAAGAAAGTTAAATAGTTAAGGATTACCCTCATAGAATAATTAGAAAAATAAAGAAAAAAGGTCATAGTTAGTATTAAAATCCTTCTTAATATAAACTAGAAGAATAAAGGAATAACATTAAAAGTTAAGTAGTCTTTGATGAGTCCTCCCCTTAGCTTGCTCTCCAGGAGATCTCAGCTGCCTGTTCTGAATGTCATTGCTGCAGATACCAGGTGACCTCCCTCTCCGCTCACTCTTCCCGCGTTGGGCTGCAATGCCATCGCTGCTGCTGCAACCTTCCCTATCTCCTCCCTCTCCCTCCAGGACAAGTCTGGGCAGGACCACTCACACGCAGAAATACCGCCATGCCAGCCAAGGGACCGGGCTGAGAGATCACCATGTGCTGCCAAGACACCGGTCTATGCTGAGGCCAGGATTGAGGAAAAAGAAGAAACACCAAGGGATGAAAAAAAGAGAAAGAAACTGACAGAGTGGATGAGCTCTGGTTGAAGCATCCTACTCTGCTGTCATCTTGAATGTCATATGTAATATAATGGGGTCAGAGTTATGCAATTGCTAGCCATGCCAAATCCCACTCAGATTACACAAAAAGTACTCTGAGCAGTTCTGGACACCACATTTTTGGAATAATATTTTGGTCTTGGAAGAAATGCAATGTAGATTTACCAAGTTTATATATCGAACCCAAATTCCTTAGAACCTTCATTGTCTCCATCTTCTTAACATTTAGAAAGGACTTAGTTCTACTTTGTTAGATCCAAAGTATGTGATTGAGATCATACAAATTAAAGTTAATTCAAAATGTTTACAGGTGACTTAATTGAAATTTTGAAGGTATGAAGGAAACTGATAAGGTAATTAGAGACAAAGAATTGCTACTGGTTGAGGAAGCTAAGATTAAAGATTTGAACTAGCCTTACAGGAGTAAAATGAGGAAAAGTTCGATGAGGTTGGAATTCTAGATGGTTGGAATTCTAGAAAATTGGAATTCTCTCCTTCAAATGACAATTAATGTAAGACCAATTACTAATTTTAAATCTAGAATTGATAAGTTTTCATTAAAGAAATGCATGAAGAAATGTGGGATAAATATATTAGAGTTAATGTGTTGAATTAGATTGCAGGAAGTCATAATCTCATTGAATGTTGCAATAGGCATTTGGACTGATTGACTTACTCCTGTTCTATGTTCCATTGTTACTATTTGAAGTTGAAGCAATTTCAGTGAGTAACTAATATTTGCTTGCAGGATCAAAATTCCCAAAGTCTTTGGTTTCTTCTCTTTCCCATCTCTGGTTTTCGTTTACTTCCAGGTAATGGGTGACTGTCTGGATCTTTGAACTTCATACTTAATACTGGAATGGAACAATGAACTAATGTAAAAACTGTAGCCTCTGTGGAATCATTAAGGTATTCATTTTTAGTGAATGCAAATCTCCAAAACCGATTTTCTCAGTTTAAGGCCATTCAATCTATACAAGAGCTATGTCTCAGTTATGTGCAGTATATTAGTGCCTCTCCAAAAGTGCATTAGCTGCTTGTAATCAGGCTCCAGCAATGGACTTGGTTGCACAGGAGCCCTGGCTTGTCTTGAATCTGTTTAGCAAGGACCACTCTCATTGTGATACGTTAAAGCCAGCCGTAAGATAGATGGGGATTGTCACAGGAACTTACTGATGACTCCCTGTTCCATTTTCCATGATCCAAAAGATGTCTGTAGGAAACCTCTCCATATGGGGATATGAGATGAAAGACAGCCAACGCATGGGTTGAACAGATCATTGTGGAGTAGGAAGTAAGGTGTAGCACAGATAGTTATACCAACTTTTAGGTTTTTATTCGCTGGCAGGTGTTTGGGTTGATATTTAGGAAGACAGAATGACAGGGAGAGGTGTTTAGTAGAGGCTTCCAACTATAATGGACATTGTTGTATTCAGTCAATGTCCACAATCTCTGTGTGTGTGTGATGAGTTGTGTCAGATGGGTGCACAGTACTCTGCCGTGGAGAATGATTGGGCAAGTGCTGAGATCTGAAGTGCTGTGACAGCAGCAGCCCACATAATTAGGGTAAGGTTGGCTAAGAGGTTATTTTTACCTTTGACCTTTGCTGGTATTTTCTTCAATTGTTTGTATCTCAAGTCATTCCAAAATATGTTGAGTTGGGATCATTCTTTAGTTCCTGTTATCCGTGTACGTGCAAACAATTCTTTTTTGGCACTGGAATTATGCAGGTGGAAATACAATGCATATGGTTTTGGAGGGATCCAGTATGAGACACCTTTTTTTTCACTAGTTGTCAACTTTTTACAAATGAGAGTGCAAAAGGATAAAGCTTGGATGGCACGTGTGCAATCTACAGGAAGAGTTGGTTGGCAGGTCAATTGTACATATATTGGAATTGGTGTTCACACTTAGCTTCATGGTAATCTATTGCCTTGTCTTCTCCATGTACTTTTCCTTTACCCAACATTGACTCTGAATCATCTGCTGCAAAGGAGTTTTTGCCAGCTTGATGACACAAGTGAGAAGCATTCTGCACATCTTTAAGAGCAGGCCAATGTGCCACATTACCAGAAGCAGCCGTGAGGTCCATTAGCAATATGCCTGTGATGGCATAGTAAATGTGATAATATTGGCAAACATCACATTGCCAGAATGTCACATGGCAAGCCTTCAGCAATGCCTCCATCTACAGCTGACAACTCTTATCGTAATCATTCTTTGTTTCTCTTTGTTCTTGATGATAACTATTCCTTGTGTTCATCTGAGACAGCCATCTGGTGTATGTTCTAGTGTGACTGAGGAGCCTGATTGTAGGCCTATCTGAATTGTATGATTTAGTTGGGACTGCATGCATTGTCTGGCTGGTCTTTTGTCCTTAGCTGCCTGTAATGTTTGTTGTTCAAAGGAAGTAATGCTATTTCTTGAAACAAAAACAGAAGTTGCTGAAGAAACTCAGGTCTGGCAGCATCTGTGGAGAGAAAGCAGAGTTAACTTTGGAGTCCAGTGACCCTTCTTCAGAACTGATAGTAGCTTGGGAAAGGTATTTATGCTTTAGATAGGGGTGTGGTTGTTACTGAACTGAGGTATCAAACTTACAGCAAAACTTGCTGTGTACAAAGCAGTATATATTTTCTGAAGAAGGGTCTAGACCCGAAACGTCAGCTTTCCTGCTCCTCTAATGCTGCTTTGCCTGCTGTGTTCATCCAGCTCTACACCTTATCTCTATATTTCTACCTAATGCCTAGTTGTTCAACCGAAAGTTTTGTACCATATTTATATTCCTTCTTAAAACATCTCTACTTCTGTTGTTGTTTCTTTGTCACCAACAGACAGTTATCCTAACACAGAGAATGGTATCGATGCAAAATTGTGTTGTTAGAGGGCTCCGATTCTTGTTTTAACCTCAAAGCTATTGAACCGTTCTCTTATTTCAATGCTACACCGTAAACCGTGTCCTCTCCAATACCATTTCGGCTGCTCGGGGTCTTTAGCTCCTTTATATTGTGAAGCAACAATCCTATTGTATGTGTGTTCCAAACCATTTTGCCAGATACTCTGCAAGTTTGATAAACACTCCATATTTGTAAAAACTTTGTACTGGAGAAGGTCTCTTTAAAGTGCGGAATTCCAACTTCCTGTCAACGAGCCACAGGATGCACAAGCCATAAATAAAGTTATCAGACTTCCCTTATGGTTGGGGCGTATTTGAGTTTGATCCTTTACAGTCGGGAAGCAGGAGTCAAGTGTGCACAAAGCTAACCGACTTGGGAGCCTCCCGGTCTGAGAAAGCTGCACTAAGGCAAATACACTGTCGGGGAGCCCTAATATGCTTCGTTCAGTGTTCATTTTACTTTGGTTACAGAATTATTTGCAAAATGCAGGGGTTCGGTCCCAGGAAACAACATCAACGTTTTGCGATGCTGGGACGTGTTACAGTTTGCATTTGGATGTACGCTCCTTTTCAGACGCCGAGAAACTATGCGAGGACAGGAGAGGAATGCTGAGCACAATGGAAAGTCAAAGTGAAGCAGAGAACATCCAGCGGCTTTTGGCAGCTCATGTGCCACTCAAAGCACAACGGTATCACCTATGGATAGGACTCCGCAGGGAGGTCAAGCAGTGTTACTATCCTGACAAACCGCTCCGTGGATTCTACTGGGTTAATGGGAAAGACCATTCCACTTATAGTCCCTGGATTGTGGAACCTCAGCGAACCTGCACACATGAGAGATGTGTGCAACTTCAAGTGCATTTCACTAACCGAATCCAACTGCAATGGAAATCCTCTGCATGCAGCAAAAGAAATGATGGTTTCCTCTGCAAATACCAAATGTGTGAGCGTCTCAATGTTGAATTTGGAGAGGTGGTGTATCAAAAACCCCGACAGAACGGCACTGAGATTTTCTCTGCTGTACCCCTAGGTTCAGTGGCTATCATCAGTTGCCCCAATGGCAAGTCTGTCGTTTTGCAGTGTGACCGTGAGAACGGGAAAATCAAGTGGTCATCTTCCCAGAACCTGGCATTCATGTGCAATAACTGCTGGAATAAAACAAATGAAGGCTCATGTCAAAATCGTTGTTTTCAGATCGCCGAAGACTACTTTTGTTACTGTAACAAGGATTTTTCCATAGACCCTGTCCAAAGAAAATGCGTTCCTAATGGAAATTTGGAAATTGCCTTCAATGAGTCTTCCAGGAACGGTTTCAAAGGCATAGAGAGTGTAGCAGCCAACATTTCTTTTCTTGGATCGACATTAGCCACTGAAGCTCCAACAAGTCCCTTCCGGCAACCTGCTGAAAATTCAACAGTGACATTTCCCCCAACGTTCAGGGGTGCAGAACAAGAAAGGCAGGAAGCTCATTCAAACTCGCCCTTCCTAATATATCAGATCGTCATCGGCCTCTTAGTTATGCTGCTTCTGATCGGGATTGTGATAATAATTATTAGGGAACGGGAGAGAGGAGGGACCCAGAAAACAGCACCTAGCGAGGATGGTATGGCGCTGAAAAACACAGATTCTGCTCCTCGAGTGAACAATAAGGCCGCGGAGGAAACTGTAATTGTTACAAACGCGAATCATTTTGTTGAAACCCCATCAGCCAGTGAAAACGAAGTTAACGTTCCCAAGGAAAATGGTGAAATAAGTGAGTCGTCAGCACATTGAGGAGCCACGAGGAGGCGCTCACACTACAATTGCCATCTCGCACCAACGTGTGTTAAATGTACAGTAGGCGAATATAACTGTTATATAACCGGGGGTAATGCACAATTTATCCGTTTTGACATGAAGGAAGAGTGGATTTCTTTTATAACATTTTTTAAAGGCTACCACGTGTACTTTACTGAACAGGACTAATGTCCACAATAGATCAGGTATTGCCCTTGTATATCAGTGAATGTACAATAAAGAATAACAAATCAAACTATTGAGTAATAGGAGTTTTGTTCCCCTTCTTTGTCGAGTTGTTGCTGTGAGTTACTTAGCAACTTTAAGTAAATGATGCGATAGAAAAAGTATCTAAGCAATTTGTACAAGATAAAACAGCGATGATTTAGAAATATAAAATACATGATCATATTGTTATTAACTATGCAAATATGCTAACAACCTAAGACATTCACCCGGAAGTGCAGTTAGCGTGGCCGCAACTGGCCGTATATTGACATTGATCAGATGAGTAAATGTCGTTTCCAGGAAACGTCAGTTTGGACGGATGCCATTAAAACACTGCCGCTGTTTACAAGAAAAGAATACAGCTGAAATCAGTTGTGAATTTAATTAAAATATTTCAGTCTTAAAATTACTAACGATGCTTAACACAGACTTGATCTTTAATATGTTAAAATATTAAATAATACTCGATTCAAATAATGACACAGACATGATCGCCCCCTATATGAAGTGCCGCATTGAACAACAGAAATGAGTAGATATATGGCAATGGACAACATCCCCAACACATTGTAGCCCACTTACACACCAAGTATATATTGTTTGAACTCATCTTTTCATTCCACGTGTTTCACTTCTCCTTTGAGCAAATACACTGACCCAATTCTTTCATTTCTCAGTTTTTAAAAAGCTGTAGAATCTGTGGACTTTTCAGCTTTGATTTGATTCAATAGTATACCCCGTGCTGGAAAGGTTAACTGAGATGATACTTAATAATAGGCTTCCTGTAATATGTGATCAGGTAAACTGTCCGAACGATTTCACTGGGCCTTTTAAATGTGACTTCTAAAAATTGGCAGGCGCTGCCATTTTGAACACTCGATCAGAAACTGTAAAGGGGTCGACAATGGGGTGTCCACTTATCTGAGTCCTAACAATAAAATCAGATTGTCATTTCGGCCAACGCTGTGGTTAACCAAGAACCAATGGCAATATACACTGCGCGTGGTTCTTTTTGTTTGCTGGACCAAATAGGAACCGCTGTGCAGTAAGGCAGATCTATACAAATACTGTCAATGGAAAATCCTGGATTCAGATTCAAGCGCCTCCTTAGTTTTTCAGATTGTACGTTATGATGATTTGTTCTTAGTTCAAGATTATAGTAGACCTTTGGCACTGTACAGATTGATATCTAACGTTTGAAAGATAACCCCTTCTCCGCCGTGAATAATACAATTTAAAATAGATTTTAAAAGGCATGAAGAGTAGCTAATCCGAAAAGGAAGCCCGCCTGGACTGTGTGGACTGAGTGAAGCTATAACTTTCTATAAGTCACTTCTCATCCATTGCAGGGCAGAACACATCATCCTCTAAATGTATAATCATTCCTTCACAATCAGCATGTCGTCAACGCTCAGATTCTTGTGCATCAACACGCTTTTCCCTCAATTAGGACACGTCGAAAGACGCAACTTAAATCCACTTTGATTGTTTAAAGACGATATATTCCAGAATTGCTGGAATAATAGTTCAATACTGAGCGGAAGCGAAGGATAATCCGGAAGTAATATTCTGCTGTTTCTTTGAGTACCTATGCAGCTAAAATTACAAACTGGCTCTGACCATCCAGTCACTTTTAAAAATGGCCACAGATCTCAAGGTGAAACTGCACTAACTTGTGGAGTTTAGTGGGACCGTGTGGGATGGGGGGTGGGGGGTTGGTTGTGGATTTTAGACAGTTGAGAAATGCCCCAGTGCGACATCTTTTGAAGGAAGCGGAATCTTTGTTCGCAAAACCACCTTGGATCCCACTTGACATTTTACCAGGAGGTTTCCAGCGTGTTTCAGATGTGACAATATTTTACCTTGAACTGAGAGGGGAAGCTTCACCAGCACAGATTGCTGACAGATAGGAAAGGAAACAGCGCACACATCGAGGCCTTGAGAAAACAGCAAGTGTCAGTGCTTACACTTCCTCAGCCTTAAGCAACAGAACACAACAATTCAGCAAACAGCAGCTGTCCAACAAAAAAAGAACAACTTTAGCCAGACTGTCACAGGGAGGGATTTCTCCGGAGTCAGTGGGGCTGTTTTTCTTCCCTACAACTGCCTTTCCTTGTGCTAACTCACAGGGTGGTGGTCCTTGAGGTACAGGTACCATTGTGATACATACTATTCGATTCTGATGGGTCCTGTTGAAAGTCTTCTACACTGTACGCTCTGCTCTTGAGAGCTGTGGCGTAGTAATCTATGGGCTCCTCTGCAACATTGTCCATCCATCGTAGGCACAAGATCCTCTGGAACGATCTCTTGAAGTTGTCCGATAGGAAGCCGTAGAGGATGGGGTTGGCACAACTGTTGGCATAGCCCAGGATGACGGCGAGCTGGCTGACCGTGGCGTCCTGCTGACCCACAAAGACATCGAGCAGCTGGACGATGTAAAAAGGCATCCAGCACATCACAAACACCGTCACCACCATCATAACCATCAAGGTGATCTTCCTCTCGGACTTTTTGCGCTGCTGCCAGCCTGCTTTTAGAGCCACCACTCTCATCTTGACAATGATAAGGATGTAGCACAGGCAGATAGCCACCACTGGGATCAGAAAGCCCATTAAAAACGCGTAGACCACGAAGCCGGCTAGCCACCGCTTGGTAGGTTTCGGCATCTGTATGTTGCAGGAAACCGAGCCATCAGAGTTGCTGGCTGTGTCTGCAAAGATAATGATGGGCACGATGACCATGATTGAGAGCAGCCACACTGCCAGGTTGACCAGTTTCGCTATGGTGGGTCTTCTGTAACTGGCGGCTTTGATGGGGTGCACCACAGCAATGTACCTGTCCATACTGAGGACAGTCAGGCAGTAGATGCTAGTGAACATATTGACAGCATCCACGCTGAGGACCAGCCGACAGAGTAAAGAACCAAAAGGCCAGTGGCCCAGCAACGTCGAGGTCACCAGGAAGGGCACGCTGAGCATAAGTAACTCATCGGCGATGGCCAAGTTCAGGATGTATATGTTCGTGGCTGTCTTCATCTTGGCATATCTGAGGATCACGTATATAACTAAGGAGTTGCCACAGAGTCCAACAAGACAGACCACTGAATAGATGAAGGAGATAAGGATGGCACTGCATTGGGTGCCGCTTGAAGTCCCATTCCGAGTGAAATTGGCAGCATCCATGGCAGTATCTAGAATGGCCAGGTGCCTGGCAGAATCATTCGGTAACATCTTGCGAGGTTCAGGCGCTAACTTGCTCCTTCTCGGGTCCCTGCTCCGCCGGACAGCGCTGCCAACCCGAGGGTGTCTCCTGCAGCTCGCTGCTGTTTCCTTGCCCCTTCTGCCTCATCGGAGAAGGGAGCCGCCCCATCCACAAGCCTTCTCTCACAGACAAACTGCCGAGGAGTGATGCATTGCTTTTTTAAAAAAAAAACAAGAATGATTAAAAGGCAAACGTCAGCAGCGAGGAGCTGGAGACTCGCAGGAAGCCGGCTTGAGCTGGGCTCGGAGTCAGACAGCGGGGACAAAGCAACCTTCGTGTCGGAGCCCAGGGGTGCTCCAACGCATTGAGGTACTCCGTCTGGAGTAGGGGTACAGCACACTTCCAGTAACAGCTTTCTTTATAGTATTCCTCATCAAGGATATCTCTCCGACTTCCTCAGGTATTGGTACAAACTCGGAATCACGTGTACACTTTGTCACTGAATCCATGCAGCACTCTGCCTCCAAATCTCTCTGTGTATGTGGTTCGTCTGAAAGTTTAATCCAAGTATGGCAGGATTCCAGAACCCTACCAGCATTTAATTATAGAAGATAAACTGCACCGTTACAAGAATTCATCTTTAACAATGTGGTTTCAATTAGTACAAATCGGTATAAAATTTAAACTGTCTTGTGCACCTAAAACCGGGCGTTGCTGAATTAACTGCTCCTTGCTTTTCTATTTTTCATCCTTGTTATGTTAAACCGGTGCGTCAACTCTTAGACGCCAAGTTCTGTTTATTAGTGTCAACACAGCATTATCCCAGCGCTTCCTTTCAAGGTAGGCATAGAAACATAGAAATAGGAGCAGGCGTAAACCAAGCAACCCTTGGAGCCTGCTCCGCCATTCATTATGATAGTGAGTTATCACCTAACTCAATCGCCCGTTCCTACTTTTCTTCCATATCCCTTGATCCCTTCAGCCTCCACTGCTTTATTCAATTCCTTCTTGAAATTGAACGATGTTTTAGACTACTACTTTCTGTGGTAGTGAATTCAACAGGCTCACCACTCTCTGGTTGAAGACACTTCACCTCATCTCGGTCGTAAATGATTTACCCCACATCCTTAAACTGTGATCCCTGGTTCTGCAGTCTCCCACCACAGGGAACATCCTTCTTGCATCTACCTTGTGTAGTCCTGTGAATTTTATAGGATTACTTTCATAGGTAAACAGGACTTTTGAGAGAAGAAATTTGCAATGACTTTACAGCTGTCCTTCTGCAAATGAGTGGAGGACCAGTGATCTCAGTGTAATTCCATTCTGCAGAACAAATAGCAGCATTTATGGGCGGTGACTGCACACATCTGATATGGATTCTGTTTTGTGAATACAGTGCGTGGCACCTATTCACGATATATTTCGACTAATTTAAAATGCTTAAATCAGCTGATAATATCACTATTGTTTGCCTTCTCTTGATTATTATATCACTGAACCAATCCGTGGATCTGTTGGCAATTTAATTAATAAATTGAATTTTCTGTACATGATTATATGAGCAGAATTACTTTTATTCCAGAAGATGCTTTGGATATTTCTGGAACCACAGTTAAAATATTTTGGTTTTCATTAGCGCTGTTATCCATTTGCATTTTTGGTTTATTCCAATTTTTAAAAAGTTTATTCATTCAATGTCTATACACCTGTACATTATTTGGACTAACTTTAGGAATTTTTCAATTCATTTCAACTATCAAATGTTGGAAAACTTCAAGTAAAATGAAATATTTTCTAAGATTAAAACCTATAAATTCTATCATGGATGGTAATAATCGAGCACTTAATTTATTCGATATTCATTAATATACTATCTCAGGTGAACTGTTAATTCATTAAATTCACTAAATTCAAGATAACAAACACAAACATGAAATGCAGTTGCATTTCACTACCTTGGTCTCAAACTGTAATTTCTAAATTAAATATTAACAATGAATAGTATTGGTCTTTGCAACTAAAGCATTATTAGTGCATTGATGTGTTTTATTTTACTTCTTTTCAACTTTTAGTTTAAATTTAAAGCATTTTCTAAATTGATATGTGGTGTCATGGTCTTAATATCATAGTTTTAATTTTTTTGTGTCAATGCAATACTTTTTCCCACTCTGTTTGAAAACTTTGATCAATAAACCTTTAAGATTTTGTTCAAACAACAAGCCTTGGTATTTCCCTGAGTATTAATTGCAGAAATACTATTTTCCATGTGTATTCTTTTTCTACAGTTATTGAAATTCATTAAACATTTCTATTTATATAATACCTTCTATTTCTTCCCTCTAACTTTGAGGACTCTTGATAGAGTTGCAACTATCAACACAAGTAAGCTCTCAGTAAACATGACAAATCAATTAATTATAACACCAAACTGTTTCCTTGTAGCCTTTCATGCCGGAAAATGTTCAACATGCTTTACAGGCGCATAATCATACAAAACCAGACACCAAGCTAAAGAAGGAGATACAATATTTAACAAAATGCTTGATTGAAATGGTAGGTCGTAAGGAACTCATAAAGGAGTGTAGTTAGAAGGATTTGTAAAGAACTTAAGGGAGGAGAGGAAATGAACTGTGATGCAGGTTGAAATCATGAAGGATGAAATGTCACTTGATAAGGGTAATGAAGAAGGAAAGGAGTAAAACTATATCTTTGTAAAACATATGGGTAGATTGGATGATGGTGGAAAATTAATGCTTTAAAGCAGAGGTAAAGTGTTAAGGAAGTAAAATGTGCAAGAGGATTTGGAGGACAAACTGGGTGAGAATTTATAATACAGACAACAACGATATAGGTCTGGCAGCATCTGTGAAGAACTATATTCTGAGGAAGGGTCACCGGACCCGAAACGTTAACTCTGATTTTTCTTCAGATGCTGCCAGACTTGCTGAGCTTTTCCAGCAACTCCTGCTTTTGTTCCTGATTTACAGCATCTGTAGTTCTTTCGATTTTTATTTAATTACACTATGGTGATGACTTGGGTGGGCTATTGCTAGACAGCACAGCCAGGGGTGGGGAAGGCCTAAGGAGCAAGGTGTCACAATGAGCCATTTTTTCATAGGAACACAAAGTCAATATGATTTCAGTCAGATGATGGATGACAAGATCTGTTCACAAGTCAGTAGATATGTTGGAGGAGGATGGAACGAGGGATTGTGTCAGCCATAGCTCGGTGATAATAAATACTGAGTCAGAAAGTTCAAACACCATTCTAGTGATTTGAGTGTAAAATCATGCCTGCAATATAATGCAGTATAAAGTGATGCACTTTCAGAGTCCTTACCTTGTGAATTAGATTAAAATTAGGCCCCTCTGCCCTCTCAAGTTATGTCAGAAATCACATTGTGCAATTTTGAACAAGAACAGAGAATTTTCTTTAAGGTCTTGACTAATATTTGTCCTTTAACCAAAACCATAGATAAGTTAGATGCCCATTTATTTCATAGCAATTTTCAGGACCCTTGCTGTGTGGAAATTGGTTGCCTTGTTTCTGGTATTGCAATAGTGGCTACCTAATAAAGGTTCTGAATTGCCTGTAAAAGGGACTTCCTGATTTCATGTTACATAAATGCATGCCTTGCTATTCTCCTTTCATTCATCCATTGGCAGAGTCCACAGGTGCCAGGAGTGTTGGGAAACAGGATGGAAAGAAAATTAATCTTGAGCTGCCATGCTGGGTTGGAGGATTGGTGTGAGAATAGGATGGGCAAGTCATGATTGCTGTTTGTAAGCATGCAGTGGTGAGGACCTCAAGTGATGAATATCATTGGAGAATCGTAACAGAAACATAGAGGGACATTGCAGGCATACCCAAGAGAGAATAAAGTTTGGAACAATGGGCAGCAGGAACCTGGAAAAGTAGAGGAATAGTAGAGGGTGCTGCAGAGATTTGGGTGGATAAAATACCTGACGGAGAAGAAAATTACAGGAGTGTGGCTGAGTGACTAGAATGGAAAAAGAAAAAGGCAAATATACATTCTTATAGCATGTTGCATGGCCTCGGGGCCTCAAAAGCGCTTTCCAGGTGATTTTAAAGTGGAAAAGGTATTTACTGTTGTAATGTAGCAGATGTGTTAGGGCAGCTAATTTGCATGTAATCAGGTCTTACAAACAGAAACGGGACGATGACTAGATAATGTTGCTAGCTATGTTGATTGGGGAATAAATGTTGGCCAGGAAGCCTGGGAAATCTCTCCTATCCTGCAGTCATTTACATGTTGCTGGGCAGTCAGGGGTTGACCTTCCCAGCTTATTGGCAATGAACTGAGAAGCTGAAGAGCTGACAAAATGGTGGGAGGTAGGCATCAGGTGTGGTACAGGAGGCCATATACTGCTGTTTAATTTTGCCACCATTGGTAATTAGTTGACCACCTCCAGCCAGATGAACCACTTAAATGATCAATTAAAGATTGCTTCCTGCCTCAGCAGGCCAATTTTCCACATTGGGAGGGTCCATGACTCAGTGGGCAGACCTTCAGGTGAAACCTAGCAGCCTGCTAGTGGGTCTTGGGGAGGGTCTTCCTTGATGGCTGCTCCATGCCCCAAGGCTTTCCAGTAACAATTGCTGTCTTTGTGGCAACTCAACTGTGGAAAATTCATGCCACTTACCTGATAACTTGGGGCCTGGCAAATAGATCCTCACTTCCCCAACTTTGCACATTTATCTTGGAGAGCAACCAAGCATTGAGGTGCTGATGAGCTTCTGATTGAGGGCAGGTCACTTCACTACATTACATCCCTGGTGACAGCCAGTTAAGAGGGTACCGCCAGCGATATGCTATCTGTGTTCCACTAACTGCCAGTATGGTGTTAGCTCCTGTCTTGCGTAACCCTGAAATTTGAAGCAATTAGGTAGTAGTGGGGAATCACAACAGCCATGTTTCACTGTGCTGTGCAGTAGACCAGCATAATTCTGGTGACAGGAGCCTGGGAAGACACATTTAAGCAGAGTTTCAACCTTTTAAAAGATCAC